AGTAGCTGTTGCTAGCATGGCAACTTGGACCAGCATAGGAAGTCCTTCAGCAGCACCTGGAAGAGACAAGAACCACTTAACTACACATTTTATGTCTTTCCACCATGTGTTAGTAGATGACCTTGTAGGCACCTTTGGGAAGAAGTCCCCCAGAGTGTCTTTTAGTGATTATACTAGAAAATTTCTGTCCAGGTGTGAAATCATGGGGGACTCATGGCTAGATCAACCTGGAGCCACCTTCAATTGAGACCTGAACGCACAGTCACAAAAAAACACACATACCCTGTGGTGTCTTCCTTGCAGGTGCAAGGCCTCCCGAGGAGCTCCATAATCCCTGAGCTGGATCAAGGATTAACAGTGGTCCAACTGAGACTTCGGCCTCTGCTGCCTTTAAGGACCCACCTAAGAAGAGATGGACATGAATGGGTTCAAAGGAGAGGTCATTCTTGCTTAGTCTGGATTTCAGGGCTTACAGAAAGGTTGACCCTACAAGAACAACCTTCCTGTAGTTTTAAATTTGGGGACACAGACATAGTACCACATTGGAGAAGAACTGGATTTGTCCTTAAGATGAGATGCTTTTGCTAAAGATCTTCCAGCATCTTAGCCAGCCCAGCCTGGAGAGTCACCCTGCCTTGGGGGTACATTTGGGACACACAGAGCCCTACCTTGCTTGGAAAAGATGTCTCTCTTCAAGCGTCTCCCTGGCCATCTGGCTGGAGAGTTAATTCTCTGGGAGTATCCTCTATATGATGGACAGTTGCCAGTCTCACAGCAGCTGCAGATGTCTCCAGTACCCTCCACAGGAACCCAACTGAAAGAACTACCTGTAAGTCTTCTTTTCTCCAAGATGGTCCCCTCCCCACATGCACCAGCTACTCACAGGCTGCTGGCTTTATTGAAGGAACAGGCCTTGTTCAGTGGATTTGGGGGCTGGTCAGCTGGGGAGACCTTCAGGTGGCAGATGATATAGATCTGGGAGGGAAATTAAACCAACATCCAAGGTCCATTAAATTTGGTGATGCAGAATAGCACAGCTGCCCAACACTCTTGGGGGAGGAGGGGTAGGAACCACTTCTCACCAAGTTCCTGTCATCTCCTGAAAACTTGAATGCATCAACCATAAACTGCAGCGTTTCCTGCCTCGGCCTTGGGGAGATGAAGGCTGAAGTGGTGTCTTCTGATCTCCCATCCACCAAGCACCTGGACAAGGCTCAGAAGTCAGGGCCATCCCAGCCAGCAGCATCACCAAGACAGCACCCACCACACCTCTTACCCGCTGAGGTCAATCAAGGCATATCGTGGAGAGGAGCTCCTGTCTGGACTCAGGGTGGCAACACAATCATCCACAAAGAGCCTCAGAGGTACATGGTCCCCAGAAACAACATCAGCCTGGAGATGCAGGCTTTCCCCTAGCTGGAAGCCATTGGAGAGTCTCTCAGAGCTCCAGTCATCTGGAAAGTAGATCCAAGGCTGCAGGTCACTTTGGAGAAAACCACCTTGTCCTCCCTCGCACATGGGACTGCTTAACTGAGTGGCAATCCCAGATATCACTTCAAGATGTGATTTTAGCCCAGATTCTAGCTCTGTTTAGGCTCTTAACACATCACCAAGGGCCCACAGGAGTGGGAACCTGAGGGAAACAGGGCTGCCAGGTCTGCACGCACCATTCATGAGACGCAGGGAGAACATCAGGCTTTCCTCCAGCGACAGGGTGGAGCGGAAAGGAACCCAGGTGGGCCAGACAGCATTGGTACTCACGTTGCCCTTCCTAAACGGAAGAGACGTGTGTTAACAAAGATGCCACCATCACCTCAGATCAGTAGAAGCAGATACACAGCTACTGTGTGCTCACCTGGGATAGTGACACTCAATAGGAACCACAGCTGGGTTGGTCCTTACAATGACCAGGTTCCCAGAAGGAGCAGGTTTGTAGGACAAACTTGTTTTGTAGATCAAGGAGTCTGGGGTCATCTGGAGGGAAGATTTGGGAGACCCAATAAGTCAGTAAAATAAACTAGTCAATTCCCATTTACCCACCCAGTGCTAGGCAAAACCCAGAGAAGGGCCATTCCCTACCCAGCGCTACCAGGGATGGAGCAGCCCCTCACCCCGATGTCCCCACTCACCCGCAAAGCGCCGCCTCCAGCCATGAAGGTCACTGTGCTTTCAGTCGCACTCTGGGCCACCGGCAAGCAGGCAGCTGAGCCCAGAGTCAGCTCCGCAGCCCTGACCAAGCGCCCTGTGCCAAAGAGATCCCTGTGGACTGTGACCACTACCTGAGCCTCCTGGCACTGCACAGCCACAGGGTGCAGCGGGGCAGCAGCTCGGAGCTGGGAAAGGTCCACCCATGCCCAAGGGGAGGGCTGGGAGAAGGAAGGCACATGAGGCCGCCTCCAAGAAGAGTCCCCTCGGACCCTGAAGACCCCTGAGCCCCTTTGAGAAAAGCTCCAGGGGCTGTAAGACACTGCTTCAGCCAGCACCCAGCAAAACAAGGCTACACCCAGGCTGCCTCCAGACCCCATCCTGACCCCAGAAAAACCAGCTCATAGAGAAGAGGCTGCTCAGGAGCCTTTTATACCAGCACTCCCAGCAGCCCCAGCCATGATGGAGCACACCTGGGGGCTGCAGGCATGGCCTCCACCCAATGAGAAGCTGAGAAGCAGCTCAGGGCAATGGGACCCAGCTGGGACCATCCCTCCCTCCCTCTGGGGGCATGGAGAGTGTTTTCCCTGCATCTGCACCTGGGAATTGCCTTGAGCAGTTTGTTCCATGTACCTCTCTCTTTCTTTTTTGGGGTTACCACCTTGGTGATCAACTGGCCACAAGCCCTCTGCTTTTGTCCCTTACATGTGTCCTTCTTGCTATGTGAGATGGAGCCAATTTTGGCGACCAACATAGCAAGGGCTTGGTCAGGCTCCCACAAGCACTTCTTCTCTGGTCCCCACCACATCATCAACACCAGCAATTCCCCAAAAGCCAGGTCCTGAAGCACTGTTTGAGGTGACATATTCAGAAATGGAGAGGACTTTAACTGCAAAACCCACCTGAGCTTTGGGCTGTGGGTGTTGGCAATCTGTCCAGGGTCGATTTCATGGCTATCTGTGCTGGGTAATTGTATATTGAGTAATGAAGGCATCATAACTGGCTTATTTGCATAGAAAGCAGAGGTACAAAAGCCGATCTTCCCATAATAGTAGCTGATAAGTGAATGGCAGGCATAATCAAGAGATTAATTGGCCCTCGTGTGTTAATTATGCTAATTGGCGCAGCTGCTCATGTGTACAGTACGATGACTAAGAGCTCTACATTGCCAAGCTGGATGAAGAGGTTGGAGGTCACTCAAAGCTGCTTGCCATGGTGGCAGAGCCCAGAGAGCGGGGTCCCCTCGACACGGAGGTGATGCCACGCACACACACACTTTTCACTGGTGAAGCCAACCAAGCCAAAAGGGTTTTTTTCAGCCTGAGCAGTTGTATCCATGATGTGTTTCTAAAGGTGTCCAGGGAAATGGGGTTTACTGGCTGAAGCATCCTCTTCCTGGTCTGCTGGGATCTGCAGGGTGGGTTTGGGGTGGGGTGACCTGCACTGTTTGCTTCTAAGGGAGACCACAGTGATGAGCTGGATGAGCAAAACTCCCATCAAGACCAAGGGGTTGCATCTGAATTCCTGGTGAGATCCCCTTCCCTTGCTGGCCCATGCATTAAGCATTGTTGTCTCCCCAAAGCATGAGTAATGACACACACATGCACGCCATCCTTTTCTGGCTCGATCTCCATGTCCCAGTGTTGTCCCTGATGTTTTTCTGAGTAATGAATAAATGATACAACAAGAAAAACCTCTCCGGCAGCTCAAGCCCTCTTTATTAATTCAGCAAGCACTGGGTAATCTCCAAACCCAGCTCATCTCTGTGATAGGTTGGCATCTTCTACCCTGCATCTGGGTTTGCCCGGGGGAGCTCCCACAGCCAAAGGCATCCAGGAGGACAGGAGGTGATGTTCATGCTGCCCACAGCCCTGTCACCCTTCCTGGCAGCAGGGCATGGTGCTGAAGGTCCAGAGGTTCAGGTCATGGTTTAGTGGGCATTGTGGTGTTAGGTTGACGGTTGGACTTGATGATCTTAGAGATCTTTTCCAACCTTACCAATTCTGTTGATTGACCCAACCTTTTGCAAACCATGTCCATGAGGAACTGGGTCTACATGGATAGGTACCTACAGCCCATGCACCTTTGCTCCTGCTCCAAAGGGAGAGATGCAGCTCATCTAGAAACCCCAGCCCTGTGTCTCAAACTAACACATCCCAAGGTTTCTCTGCTCAAAGGTGGGTTTCACACCTTGCAATAGCTCCAGCCAAAGGCTGGCTGGTCAAAGCACCAGGAGCGGAACGGTGGGAAAGAAATTCAGAGATGAAACAGGCATGGGAGATTCACTGACCTTAAAAACCTGAACCTGTTGGGTGGAGAACAGTTTTTATTCTAGTCTGAGTGCAAAAAGACATTGGTAGGCATCAAAACACCCCTGCCATCCACCACTTCTCAGCTCTCGCTTCACAGCTCATGCTGCATCTATCACTGTGTCGTGTATTTAATAGTTCTGAAGGAATAGTCCTTCCATCTGCAAAGTCCTCCAACTCTAGATTTTCTCCAGGAATGAAGGACACTGGGGGCCACCTCCTTTTTGCTGCAGTGGTCTGTGTCCTTCCCTGGGCTAACAGGAGCTTGGGGTCTTCACTGACCCCTGTGAGAAGAGGAAAGCCAACGGTTGTGTTGGAAAGCCTCCTTGGAAAGCCTTCGGTTGAGCAGGACAAGTCTCACAGTGGAAGTCTTTGCTCCATGCTGTAGGAAGCCATCTCACACCCTCCCTTTGGAATGGGTCTTCTCCCAATTATTTTCATTTTTACACAAAACTCGCTCAGATTCAACAACAACCAGTCCAGCAACGGCTCAGATCCTGCTTCCAAAAGCATTGCCGCAGAATTTTGTCTCACCCACCACGAGGAATGACGCTAAAATGACATTGAAATGGCATCCAGTCATAAAATGACACCAAAACTACAGCCTTGTCCCCACACCAGGCTTCGGCCGTGCATCCCAAAGAGAAATGACCCTCGCTTGGTCAATGCAGGAAAAGAGGGCAATTGGAGTTTGAAAATGATATTGCTCATTAATTTTCCTGGTTGGAGCCAACTTCTTAATGCCAGGTAGGGTTTGGGGTTTTTTTTTAAGCAATATCAATGTTTCGTTTCAATTCTCTCTTAAACGATTTCTGAGTCACAGCGATAAATACACCCTGTGCTTCCTTTCTGCTTCAGATCCCTTATAACGGCTGATGGATAAATTGCTCTAGTTCCCCGGGATAAATCATGCAGGATAGCCAAATTGGTAATTAAAATGTCTCTCAACCTCTCCATTAACTCTGACTTAGCAGGACCAGATGCATTGCAGCTGCTGAGAATAACCCATTTGGGATTGAGCTCCAAAAAATGGGTCCTGGGAGGGAGAAACTGGCTCAGAAAGTGCTGACTTCATGCAATTCCCTCAGGAACACTATGATGGTCCTCATGGAGGAGCTTTTTCCAAAGCCTTCTTTTGCCAAAGAAAAAGAGCTTTTGAGCACGCCAGTGCTTTGCATTGGCGCTGACTTGCTCATGGAAAGCAAATTCCCCAAGCAGAGCTGGCACGGAGCTGGGTGGTTTCTCTATCGCAGTTGTACTGGGAGGAAACAAAAGGGAAATTAAATAAAAACTGGTCACACGCAACAAATCCTTTATTATCGATGGGGAGAATCAAGCCGTCATCGATCGGCACCAGGGAAGAGGCTCGTCCTGGCACTTTCTGAAATAATCTGCCAGATGTGAATTTTTCAATGTTTTTTTTCCCCATCGAGGGTGTTTGGATGAACTCCCAGGACTGATGAGAGCAAACATAACCAAGCTGTGGCCCAAGCCCATCCCTGTTGAATCCCACTTCCTCAGCTGCCAGGTATGCTGTTATCCAGAAGCGGGTGGAGAAGGACATTGGGGGTTTTGTGGAATGGAAAAACCCTGCAGAGCTGCAGCATTGTGGCTGACCAGCCTGGGTCTCATCCATGGGACCCAAAAACCATGTGTCAGATTAAAGAGACCTTGAAGAAGATGGTTTCCTCCCCCCAAAAAAGAGCCATGACCTGGACAATCCCAAAAGCAGTCTGGCACTTGGGAACAAGGGGGACAACTAAGCTCCTCCTGGGGTGCTTTATCCCATGTCAAAGCTCAGCACATCCTTCTTGGGGACAGCAGTGAGCAGCTTAGCCCAAGCAGAAGCTCACAGTTCAGGACAGCCCAAGTCACACAAGTGATATTTTTGCTGGGCTGCCATAGCTTAATCCTGATTTTCTCCCTTGCTGCTCTCAAAACCTCCCTTCCCTGCACGGCCCAGGCTTCATTTTGCCAAAACTACCCTCCAATCTACCCAAAGAAATGCCCAGAAAGCTCCCAGCTGCAGGAGACATCCCCAGGGATGCTGGCACCATCTCAGGTGGCACTATTTTTGGGTGTACCCTTTCCCACCAGCCCCCATCAGACAACGTTCGCATCCCATTCATGGCATTAACCAGTCCGAATTTCAGTGCGATCTCAGATAAATGATGATGTCTCTTCAGGATTTTCCTCTTTGTCCTGCCACTCAGGTTATTAAAATAAAGAGGAGGGATGAAGGCACATCGCTGGAGTGGTTTTCTTCCCACGCTGGGTGATGGATGATGGTTGCATGGTGCGAGATGCCGCAGTGACAACAGGGGACTGAGGAACAGATGGGGCCGGGCTGAAAGGGGGACATAAAAGTTTCACTCTGGGAATTTCAATACTTAAACTAATTACAGCCAAAGCTGCACCCCAAAGATCACACTGAGTCTGGAAAGCATTGTTCAAAACAACTCCTGAATTTATTTGACAAGGCACAAAAATTCCCTTCAGATTCTGGATTTTAAATGACGAAAACCAGCAGAGCTGCTGAGGGGCACACTAAGGACTTTTCCACCCACTGGAGTGGGACCAAGGACAGGCCACCCTGCCCACCCCAGTGGCCTGGGTGCCCCCATGTACCCTACAGGTACCCAGCAGCCACGGGAGGACCCCCAGGACACACATGGGGGCAAAGACCCTTTTAAATCCCACCCATCTTTTAAATCCCTTCAGTGATGGTGACCCTACCACCACCCTGGGCAGCCCCTTCCAGTGCTTGACAACCCTTTCAGTGAAGAAATTTTTCCCGATATCCAATCTAACCCTATCCTGGCACAACTTGAGGTAATTTCCTCTGGTCCTATTGCTTGTTACTTGGCCCAAGAGACTGAGCCCCCCCCACTGCTACCCCTCCTTTCAGGTGGTTGTAGAGAGTGAGGCGGTCTTCCCTGAACCTCCTTTGCTCCAGGCTTAACAACCACAGGTCCCTCAGCTGCTCCTCACCCTTCACCAGCTCTGTTGCCCTCCTCTGGATGTGTCCCCAAAGCATCGCCTTTGTCACCATGAGGAGGACACAGGGGCTTCACCCGGCCAGCAGGTCCACCCCTCAATTTTCCCTCAAAAAATCCCCCTGGGTTGATTTGAAACCACCCTGGTGGGATTTCGCATTTAAGACAAGAAAATTAAAAGTCCAGTGGGAAGCACAGTGGTGCAACGTGAAAAAATAATCATTTCCATGTGTCCCTGGAGCGGTGCATCCATCAGGGTCGAGAGCCCCATCCATCTTCCCAGAGCCTCTGAGGCTCTATCTGTCACTCTCAGGGACCTCACTGAGCTCATCACTCCTCCGGAGGCCTCTTGGCTTGGAAAAGGCACCGAAATTTGCGCTGGAAGGCACCAGGAGCAGGCACAGAGGGTGTTGGGGGGGGAGGTGGTTGACCCCAGTTGCTCTCAGCCCAGTGCAGGGATGGACAGACGGACATGCCCTTCCTCCCTGGGAAGGATGCACCAGTCCTGGGGGCTCACTGGGGACAGAGATGCAGCCTCTCTCCAACCCCAGGGTACCACAAAGATGCAGCCAGGGTGGGAGGAGGGTGATGGGACAGGGGACAGGGGATGGCAGCGGGACCGTGCCCTCCAGGGGGGACCCGGAGCTCATTCCCATCGGGGACATCTCAGCTGGTCCAGGGCACAGGGCGCTGCAAGTCCCGTCAATCAATTTCTTCCTCGTTATCTTGGGAGAAAAACAGAGAATAAATAAATATTAGAAAAAGAATAATAATCTATAGGTCCAAATTAACTCACTAATTTGTCACTGGCAGCTCTCTGTTCTCCTTGCCCTGGAAAACTGGGATTGGTGGGATTGCCCAGCTTCAGGGCTGATGCCAGCCCTAGGCACATGTAGGTGTGTTTTTATCCCTCCATCCCTCCTCCCAGCGAGGAAAACCCCAGCAAAACCTGGGAGATGTTCTTATTCAAGCTTCATTTCCATGGAAAAAGCAGTCAAGGAGCAAGCAGGAGATGTCCTGCACATGGGGATGAAAAGCCAAGGGGCTGAGAAGCCAAGTGCGGAGATAAGGGCAGGGAGGAGGAAAATAAAAAGTGGAAATGAAATTTTAAAAGCAGAGATGGGTGATGCTTCACTAGAAGTGTGAAGGGGAAGGGGGAAATGGCTTTTATAGACCTGGAAAATGGCTTTAGAGAAAAACCAGGGCTGCTAATAAAAGGAAGTGGGGATGAAGTCAGCAGTGACTCCCCAGCAGCAGAGGCCAAGCCTCTGCCTTTAATAAGAAAGGAAATAAATTAAAAGATTGAGATCTTGGGAAGAGGATGAGTCAGGGAGGAGCTGGGACCCCAATTTTCCTGAATTTCCACATGAAATTCAGCAGCAGGTGCTGCTGGGGAATTCTGCACGGGGAGGGGTGAAGTTGATGTCCCTCCCTTTCTGCAAGGTGAGGACCAGCCCCATCAGTTCCTCAAAAATAGACCCAAATTTCTGCGTCCAAATTTCCCAAACAACCCAGGTTCGTGGCAGGAGGCTTTTCTCAGCCCCGAGGTACCCAAGAAAAGGATAAGAAAAACAAAGCCACATCAGAGCCGTCAGCAGCATCGCTCCATCACTGCTGGGAGACATGAGCAGTGGCCAGAGCAAGCGCAGCGCAAATTGGAGTGGAAATGGGTGCTGGGAAATAACTGCTCTGGGAAAATCTGATAGAAAACTGGGGAAAAACTGGGAAAAAACACTTGGGGAAAAATGGGGATACAAACAGAGGAAAAACTAAGGGGGAAAATGGGGAGGGGAAAAGGAGGTGAGGGGAAAAGGAGGCGAGGGGAAAAAAGGGGGGTAGAAAACCCCAAACCAAACCCAATGCTGGCTGATGGAGATGCAGAAGATGTACTCACCATCTTTGCTCCCGGCGCCCTTCAGCGGCTGCAGAGCTGCAAAAAGCAAAAAAATCACAGAATCACTCAGTTGGAAAAGACCTCTGAGATCATCATATCCAACTGTTCCTGTCTACTCCCTAAACCATATCCTCAAGTACCTCATCTACCCGCTCTTTAAATACATCCAGGGATGGTGACTCCACCACCTCCCTGGGCAGCCTGTTCCAGCTTCTGACGACCCTCTCAGTAAAGAACTTCCTCCTTATCTCTGACCTGAACCTCCCTTGGCACAGCTTGGTGCCGTTTCCCCTTGTTCTATCCCCCATCACCTGGGAGAAGAGCCCAGCACCCACCTCTCTACAACCTCCCTTGAGGCAGTTGTAGGTGGTGATGAGGTCTCCCCTCAGCCTTCTCTTCTCCAGGCTAAACAACCCCAGTTCCCTCAGCTGCTCCTCATAAGGCTTGTTCTCCAGAGGCCTCATCACCCTTGTGGCTCTTCTCTGAACACGCTCCAGAATCTCAACATCAAATAAATCCCAGGGTCAGACCCCAGCGTGTGGGACAGGGGCTTGCTAGGAAACACCTTCCCAGAGGAAACGGCTATGAGCTCTGTTTTGGGGAACCCACCCCAATAATTGCAGAAAGATCATTGAGTCCAACCATCAACCCAACCCCACTGTGCCCACTAAGCCATGTCCCCAAGTGCCACATCCGCGCGCTTTCTGAACCCCTCTAGGGATGGTGACTCCACGTGTGGACTCAACGTATACAATCCATCATGCACCAAACCCACCTGTCTTGGGTTCGTCCCCCTCCTCATCCCGCTCCTCCGTTCCTGCAAAAGAGCACGAGCGTGTCAAGCTTCACCCCAAGGCCCACCCTGCACCCCACCTTCCTGGGCAGCTGGGTTTGGGGGGTGCCCCTTGCATCGCTGCCATCCCCGGCTCTGCTCAGGACCGGGTGCTGCCAAGCTGCTGGTGATGCTGGGGAAAGAGGTGACTGGTACCCACTTGCACCCAGCACACCGTGAGGGGGTATTTCCCCCATTTTCCCCCCAGCAAGGCCGTGCAGGGGCAATGCATCCCCTACAAAGCATAAAAAGCCCCAGCTCCAGGTGTCACAGCCCTATTGATAGCCCAGTTGCCACCTGGAGCAGTGTGGAGACCACAGCTCCCCCCATGCCTCCGTCGGCACCAAGGGATCAGCATCTCCTCCCTCCTGCAACAAAGCCCCCATTTTTGTCTATAATAAAATAAAATAAAATTTTAAAAAACAGGAGGATGCAAAAAACAAGAGCATGGAGCATCTCTCCTGCCATTTCCATGTGTCAAAGTGCTTGGCATTTCCACGGTTGCAAGTGCTAGAGGCGCCTTCTAGGAGACGCTCCCTGTCCGCCCGGCTGTGGGTACCAGACGTGCAGAGCATGCTCAGAGCAGTGGGGTCAAAGGAGAGGTGGCGCATTGGGTGGGAGGAAAACTGGGTCTGAAAGAGCACGCAGCCAGCACAGGCTCTCCAGTACAGATCTGCTGGTGCCCATCAACCCCATCATCTCCTGGCATCCCTTCATCCTTTAAAAGATGCCACCACCAAGGCCTTCCTGCCAGATCAAATTTCCCCCAGCTCCTCCCACCCATCGCCCCTTGCAAACCCCATCCCTTTTTGGGGGAAAGCAGCCCTGTTACCTGCATTTTCATCCTCTTCCTTGCAGCTCTGGCGGATTTTCTTTTGGCACATGTAGGCCAGGACAGCCAGCAGCCCCACAACGCAGAGCGCAAGTCCCACTGTCACCCAAAGAGCCACGGCAGGGAAGGCGAGGTGTTGGCCTTGCCAGGGGGGAAAGAGAAATACCACCACAATGAGTATTGCTGCCTGACCAGGAGGATGCGTGCCTGGCATCCGGGACCCCATGATGGCAGGGACACATCCCTGGGGAGGGAATTGCTCATGAGAAGCATCAGATGATGCTACACGCACTCCCTTTACCCTTTCATCTCAGGTCATGGGGCTCGGAAGGATGGGGACACCTTCCCCAGGGTCTAGGACGGCCTGGCAGAGCCTGGGGGACATCCTGGAGCACTGGAGATCTGATTTTTCCCCATGATATTGCTCCTTCTTCAAATAAATCATTCCTCCAAACTCTGCCCCTCCACAGATGTTCCCCCAAGGATGACCATTTGCTCATGCACTTGGGAGCCCATGAAAAAGCCACCCCTCTGCTCCCAACCAGCAGCATCCACATGAGTTTTCCTGCAAGAGTTCAATGCATCCAGCCAAAAAGTTTATGTATCACCAGGGACCCAATTTCCCAACATGCAAGTGCAGTACCAAGGGTAATTAAACGCTAATTAATGCTACTGGAGAGTGCACAAGGTTATAAAGAGCTCTAGAAGGGCAGCAGAAGCGCAGAGTGACGTGGCGAGGCTGAAAATTATGGATGAACTCCTCCAGCCTTTATTTCTGAAGCAGAATTGTCACAGCTGGGATGGAGAACCCCAAATTGAGAGCATCCCACGGCTATGTGCTAAGGAGAAGACAACTACGGTGGCTTTCTGGGGTGGTTTAGACTTGGCTGGGGCGGTTTAGACTTGGCTGGGGCAACCAGCAGAGCTGGAGACTAAGAACTAGGGATGCTGGTTCTAGCTGGGACACTCGAGTGAGGTGACAGAGGAGGACAGCACCCCTTCAAGTCACCCTTACAGGTCCAGAGGGAAAGAGGTAGTGTAAGGACTGTATTGAGTTTGTGTGATGAGGCTTTGGTAGGGGTGTGGCTTCCATAAGAAGCTGCTAGAAGCCTCCCTGGCTCCAAGTTAGACCTGCCTCTGGCCAAGGCCAAGTCAATAAGTGATGGTGGGAGCACCTCTGTGATAACAGAGGTGGAAAAAAAAAACCCAAAACTGCTGGGGAACCTGCAGCAGAGTGAGATGTGAGAGGAACAACTATGTCGACACCAAGGTCAGTGAAGAGAGGAGGAGGAGGGTACCTCTACAAGCTGTGGTGAGATGGCAGGCTGGCCCCCTGCAGCCCGTGGAGGCCAGCGGTGGAGCAGATATCCATCTGCAGCCCATGGAGAACCCCACGCTGGAGCAGTTTGTGAAGAACTGCAGCCCGTGGGAAGGACGCATGTTAGAGGAGCTCATGGAGGACTGTCTCCCGTGGGAGGGACCCCATGCTGGAGCAGGGAAGGAGTGCAAGGAGTCCTCCCCGTGAAGGGAACGGAGCAGCAGAAACAACGTGTGATGAACTGACCACAACCTCCATTCCTTGTCCCCGTTTTGCCTGTGACCATAAGTGGAGAGCGATCCCTCCATGTCCTTGTCTCTACCCATGAGCCTTTTGTTACATTTTCTCCTCCCCATTCCACTGGATGACAGACAGAGCCCATCCCTTCCTTTCCCCAGTTTTGGCCCTCACTGGCTTACCCGTGATGGTGACAGAAGCTTGGGTCTCCTGCTGCAGCACTGGGTTTCGCACCAGGCAGGAGTAGGTGCTGCTGGGCTCCACCAGCACCTGGAGGACACTGCGCACATCAAAGAGACCTTCTTCATTGGCCACCTGGGATGTGGTGACATTTTCCGTGATGTTGCTGCCCTGGCTGTCCTGCCAGAGCACGCTGGCCTCAGGGTAGCCACGGGAGGCATGGCAAGTCACGGCTGCCAGATCTCCTGGCTTCAAGTCCTTGTTGGGCTCCAGGTTCATATTGGGCTTGGAGTAAGGAGCTGAAAGAGAGGAGAGCCAGCATGAGGCAACTGAGGAGACCAAAGGATGAGGATCTGGAGTGACCCAATGAGGTTGGGCAAGGCCCAGGACAGACTCTTCCAGTTGTTAAGACCAACCAGCTGAAGCCTTCCCTGCTTAAGTTCATTGATGGCCATGCTTCCAGGTGGCCTCTCAACCGAGAGCCTCCCCACCACGGCAGCAAAGGGACCGCACTCCCCACTAGAAATATTTTGGGAAGATGCCGCTGGTTGGTCTCTAACAGACAGCTCAATTCATGGGGAGGCTAAGGCAAGGGCGGAGAGAGAAAAAGGCTCCAAAAAGGAACAAAACATGACAGAGCACCTTTCTCTTTGGGGATACATGCAAGGACACCTCAACTCTCCATCTCTCACCTGCCACCTGTAATGTCACGGCTGCACTGCTGTAGTTGCGGACCCTGACGAAGCACGTGAAACTGCCCTCGTCTGAGATCTCCACACGCCGGAGGAGCAGCGAGACATTGCCCTGGGCGAGCTGGTCGTAGAAGAGGGCTGTACGGTTGGTGTAGCCCCCACCCTGGTCCGCCAGCTGGTCCTGGCCATCAGAGAATCTGTGAACCAAGCGCTTGGTGTCTGTCAGCTCCCAGATGAGGATCAGGTCATTGAGGCTGAAGTTGGCCTCGTGGGAGAAGGAGCAGCGCAAGGTGGCATCTCGGCCAAAAAGAGCCACCACAGGTTCATCCGGGACCTGGATCTCCATGGCACCTGCATGAGAGTGGCAAGGGCAAAAGCACATGCAGAACCCTGCAGAAGCACCTTCTTAATTCTCCATCTGGATAACATCTAAGCAAATCGAGGAATGCCCATGGGAGGGACCTGTGGGCAGGTGGCATCTCAGGACCCTTCCCAGCACTGATTCCCAGCAGGGAGACAGCACCACATTCAGCGCCAAACCTGGGGCACCACCACCCTCAGCTGCAGCCACGGGCACCCAAACCTGCCCCCTTCAGAAAATGCAGCCTCCCCATGGGGAGAGGAGGTTGGTGGGTGATGGTGGTGGGTGCCCCAGCTCTGGGCAGCACCACGGCCAGGCTGGCAGGCACTAGATGGCACCAATGCTCTAGTGTGACGCACACCAGCGATGCCAACCATGTCCCAGCACCCGGCAAGATGCCAACCACATCCCTAAGCCAACCCCAACCCCGTGCCAATGGCACGACACCAACCCTGCCATTGCGGCAGGGAGTGACGCCAACCATTGGCGCTGGTCCTGGGGGGGTGCCTGCTGGCAGCAAGCAGCACCATCCCCCGAAGTAGACTTGTCAGCACTTCATTCCCCAGTTCCTCCAAAGCCCAAAATGGCGAAGGAATGGGGGGAAAAAGAATATCTCACCTCAGCTCCAGGATTTGCTTTATATTGCGACCTCAACACCATTACCCACAGCAAATCCCTCCCTGGGAAAGAGGGCAGCAATGAGACGTTAAATTTGAAGCAAGAGCCTGAGCAGAGAGGATGAAGAGCTGCGGGAAGGAGCTGAACTGGAGAAGATCTGCCAGGGGCCACAGACGGGCAGACAGGCAGGAGAAGAGCGCTTGGGCAGGCTGCCTGGCTCTTGGCAGACTCAAGAGCGTCACGTCTCCCTCTGGCTAATAATAAATGCCAGCGGGTTTTGGGAATGGTACCCAGCCTGGCCGAAATCACTGCTGAACGTCTCAGAAGGATTCAGTCCCGATGTCTCTCCAGGTTGAGGTGCTGCAACCTTGGGAGTCTGGAGTACATGGGGACAGATGCAGGAAAACCAGAAACCTTCAGGATTTGGTTTAGCCGTTCAGCTGCAGCATGCGAGAGGTGGTGGCTGCTTCTACAAGAGTGGCCAACGTGCACCAGAAGCCATCACACCCATGGGGCAATGCCCCGGAGGACCACAAAACCTGGAGAAAACCCTTGTGGGCGCTGCCTCCAGGAATCACAGGTCAAAGGCAGCTTTTATGGGATGAACATGACGCTTGGGACACCTCCTTCAGGGTGGTGACCACGCCAACCCCAAGCCCCTCCAGCCCTGCTCACCTGCCAGGCTGAGCACCAGCACTCCCAAGGCAAGAGGTGGGCAGAGCATCCTTGGCACGAGCGGACGCCGGGGAAGGAAGCAGAAGAAAGCTCAGCCCTGGGTGTCCTTCTCCTGGAGAAGTCTTCTCTTCTGTGGACAAGTGACCCAAGCTGTGAAAAACCACATGGAAATGCTAAGATTGTGCTGGGGCCCAGCAGCAACGAGCAAGAGAGGGGAGGAGACTGCCATCACACAGGGGATCCCATCCAGTTGTCTCCACCCCACAGCACTGGCCAAGGGTGGACGTGATGGACCTGGAGGTTGGCTGGTGGCTGGAGAAGCCATGTGAGCCTCGTCCCCTCCTCATTGCTTCTCCTTCCCTTTTGTTTCTCTTTTTTCCCAACTTTTCCCCGCAGCACTGGGCTCTTTCACTCCTGTAGGAAAGTCTCAGGCACAAGGTTATCCAAAAAAGTAGGGAATAAAACCACAGCACCTTGGAGCTGGATGTGGGGGAGAGGCGAGGGCAAGCTGCCCGGCACCACCGGCTACCGTGGCTTGCATCCCTCCCCAGCCGTGCCAAGAGCCCTCGTGACCCACGTTCCTCCCTCGCAGCAGAAGCGAGCTCGGTATCACAGCCAGCATTGCCGCTGTCGTGTCCCGTCCCATCCCAGAGCCCCACTGCTCCACCCAGAGCCTAAACAGCCTTTAATTAGGGAAACAGCAGCCCTGGAGCTCTGCTCAGCTCAGCTCAGCTCCCATGGGGGAAACTGAGGCACGGGGAGGGGGACACTGAGGCACTGGGCAATGGGAAGGGAGGGAGTCACGACGGGAGAGGGTGGTAGGGCATTAGTTGGCTGCCCCAGCGAGGGAAGCCGTGACTCAGCTCCCTCCCGCTTGCCCTCAGAATGCTTTTCTTTTCCTGGTGATGCTAAAATAAATTCTATTTTATAAAAGTTTCATGACCTATGCGTCCTGACAGCCTGTCTTGGAAGTGTCACAGGAATGGGACACTCATGTCCCCAATGCTCATTTTGCAGTCGGGAGTCTTTTGGTGGGTCTCTCACCCTTCTATGACTCAGTTTCCCCATCCCGAAGGACTGGCTCTGCCCCAGACCTGAGCTTTTTGTCACAAGTCGGGTTATAATGAAGAGGCAAACCAGGGCAGCTGAGCTCTCCAGAAAACAATTAAAATTAACCAATTAAATGAATTAAATCCCCTGACCATACATCACCCATTTCCCATTTAATAGTTACTATCATGCAGCTAAAGTTCTGCTTTCTTTTTCTTATTCACACCCCGAGGTGGATGGCGGAGCGGTTAACAAAAGCATCTGCTGGTCCAGGTTGAAGTCCGGCTCGGTCCTGGCTTTTGGGGGTGCCTGGGTTGAGCCCATCCCGCTTTGCTCCTCTCCTACGGGAGGGTCCGGCCCACCCC